TGAACATTTATCTCTTATCGAGTTTGCATAAAATAACAGTTACCACTCCAATATCCAGATGGCTCTGTACGAGTCTTTGTATGGGCGTAAGTGTAGATCTCCTATAGGGTGGTTTAATGTTGGAGAATCTAGGTTACATGGGCCAGACCTGGTTCAGCAGGTCGTAGAGAAAGTAAAGTTTATCCGGGAGTGACTGTTGACAGCCCAGAGTCGTCAGAAGTCATATTCTGACATGCGGCGACGCGACTTAGAGTTCGGGGTTAATGACAGGGTATTCTTAAAGGTGTCACCTATGAAGGGCGTGATGAGGTTTGGTAAGAAAGGCATGCTTAGCCCACGGTATATTGGGCCTTATAGGATCATTGAGAGAGTTGGCCAAGTAGCTTATGAGTTAGAATTGCCCTCGGAATTGGAGTCCGTCCATCAAGTTTTCACGTATCTATGTTACGGAAGTGCATTGGCGATCCTACTCGAGTGGTGCCCACAGATGATGCACAGATTACGGTGGACTTGTCATACGAGGATATTCCAGTTGCCATCCTAGACCGACAAATCCGTAAGCTACGAAATAAGGAGTTAGCCTCCGTGAAGGTTTATGGAGAAGCAAAAATGTGGAAGAGATGACGTGGGAAGCGGAGGAAGAAATGAAGTCTAAATACCCCCACCTATTTCAAATTGAAGATACGGCTCGAGGTGGGATACCTCAGCACAGCTCTATTCAGGCCAATAGGTCATTAGGCAAACTCTTATTTTTTACTTTCAGAATTTATAATGGACAGTTGTGTGAAGCCAAGTGTTGCTATTTATAAACATTGGCCATGTATGGCATGTATAGTATTTTTTTAGGTTGCGTACGGGTTGGTTTTAGTCTGGTGCACGGAGAAGACTCTGGAAAATTTTTCCCAAAGTCTCTAAGAGTAAACATTCGAGGACGAATGTTTCTAAGGGGGGAAGGATGTTACATCTTGCGTTTTCGTACGTTAAGGTTTCGTCTTCAGTTAATTGACGTAGACTCGGGGATGAGATTTCTTGAGATCATAAGCATTTATGCTATTTATAACAAGTAATAAGTAGGTGCCGTGAAAGATAAAGGGTAAACGAATCAAAGAAAGTGACTTTCATTGAAGGTTGTTGATTTGGGATAAAATACGGTCTGAGCAAAAATACCAGGTATTTATGGACTAGTGCCATACAAGGTACTACATGACCATGATAGTATGATGTATAAGGTATATTAAAAATGAGTAGTATTTTAAGTAATTTGTGATAATTCTTAATTACGTGGGTAATTGGTTAATTATTGATTTAATGTGAGATTAACCATGTAATTAAGGATTTGTGGATAATTGGGTGGGGACAAAGCCCCCCCACGTGGCTGCAAGTAGAGGAGGATTGGATAATGACTTGACTTTAGACAATCAATTAAGATGACAACAACAACAACAACATACCAGCATAATCCCACAAGTGGGGTCTAGGAAGGGTAGTGTGTACGCAGACCTTACCCCTACCTGGCGAGATAGAGATTGTTTCCAATAGACCCTCGGCTCAAGAAAATGTAAAAAGATAGAAAGGAAGAAGACGAAGGAGAAAGAGGAAGAAGAAAGAAAAAAAATAGAGGGACGAAGGACGATAAGGAAAAGGGGAGAAAGACAACTATATTAACAACAACAACAACAATGAAACCAATAACATAGAATAGCATCAAACAATAGCAAACTGGAACATACGATATACAGAGCGAACGACAAGGAAGCTGCTAATACTACTAAAAAAGAACGAGGAACTCTCGACTACCTACTAGCCAACTACCCTAATCTTCGACCTCCATACCCTTCTATCCTCGATCATGTCCTCAGTGAGCTGAAGTAGCGCCATATATTACCTAATCACCTCTCCCCAATACTTCTTCGGCCGTCCTCTACCCCTTCTCAGACCCGCCACGGCCATCCTCTCACACCTCCTAACAGGGGCATCCGTACTCCTCCTCTGCACGTGCCCGAACCATCTCAACCTCAACTCCCTCATCTTGTCCTCCATGGGAGCCACTCCCACTTTGTCCCGAATAACTTCGTTCCTAATCTTATCTCTCCTGGTATGCCCACACATCCATCTCAGCATCCTCATTTCTGCTACTTTCATCCTCTGAACATGGGAGTTCTTGACTGGCCAACATTCAGCCCTATACAACATAGTAGGTCTAACCACCACTCTGTAAAACTTACCCTTGAGTCTTGGTGGCGCCTTCTTATCACACAAAACACCTGATGCGAGCCTCCATTTCATCTACCCCGCACCGATACGGTGGGAGACCTCATCATCAATCTCCCCGTTACCCTGGATTACAGACCCGAGATACTTAAAACTACCCCTCCTTGGGATGACTTGGGTATCAATTAAGATGACACATGGATTATATTCTAAGACACTCCTTGCAAACACATAGAAAGAGAAGTCATAATACTCATCCCTACACTTATCTTGAAATCCAGTGGGTTATACAAAATACAAAGCCAAGAACTCTTATCTTGAATGAACACCAAAATCCATTTCGTAAGTGAGTTATACAGAATGCAAAGCCAAGAACTCTTATCTTGAATTAATATCAAAAATTCATTTGGTAAGTGAGTTATACAGAATGCAAAGCCAAGGACGATAGTCACTCCATATTATAATAGGAACGAGATTTTTCGATTCTAAGGGAGTATAGTGTAATCCTTTTCAAGAATATCACACGGATTTTTGCCTACTCCAGGTATGTTAAGGCTAAGCCCTTCCTTCATTTTGGCATGATCTCGTAATTACATGTGTTTGATAACGAGACATAAAGAGAAATTCATATTCCGGAATTTATGTATATTTTCCTAGTCTGATAAGTTACAACATTCTTCCTTATCGAGATTTCATATTCAATTTAGTATTGTTTTCTTCCAATCAAAAGAGCAGAGACCCTATACATATAATATTACAGTATTTTCACTATCATCGAGCTATAATCGGTAGGCAGGCCCCTATTGGGCAACCTATTATCAAATGGTAAGTTATATACCGAGCCTACTGTGGTCGAGTGCCTATGAGCGAGCCCAGCATGGCCGAGATACAAAGCCTAGTATGGCCAAGCGCCTATGAGCGAGCCTACCACGGCAGAGCGGTTATATATATCGAGCCCTATAAGGTCGGACAACTATTTTACTTACTATATTCTGAGAGTTGAGTCAGTATCAACAGGTGAGCATATCTTCAGATTATCTTTGCCTCCCGTTACTTTTAGTTATTATATTACCAGTTCAGTTTCAGCTTTCAGTTATTTTATTGCCTTGCATATTCGGTACATTTCGTACTGACGTCCCTTTTTCTGGGGACGCTGCATTTCATGCGTGCAGGTTCAGACAGACAGGCGGGTAGACCTCCTCAGTAGGTGTTGCCGGCAGCTTTATCGGTAAGCTCCACGTCCTTCAGAGTCTCCGGGTCTAGAAGTTTTGTGCACATCTGGTGTATATATGTATGTAGGTTATGGGTAGGTCGGGGCCGTGTTTCGATCATGGTACATCCATCAGTAGAGGCTTGTAGACATATCCTAGCAATTAGTGCAGTATGTTAGGCTTGTAGGCCTTGTATGTATATTTTGTTGGTTTGTCAACTGTAGTAGTTATGACGACCTTGCCAACCCAGCTTTATATTGATGTTTAGTCAGCGTTAGTTTTCATTCAGTTTTATATTTTGCTTAGCAAATTGTCTTGCAATGTGGCCCAGGACCAAAGTATGGCATTATATGTTCAGAGTCCCTTAGTCGCGAGTTGGTACGCAAGGATAGGCGAGGCACCGGGTGCCGGTCTCGCCCCCAGGTTCGGGGCGTGACAGTAAGAAGATAAAGTTGTATAGAGCTTTGAATACATTATAGTATCAGTTTTCCAGAAAATTCCTCCCCCCCCCCCCACAATGAGAATAGAGCTCACTATTTATAACTACGTCTAAAGAACAAGGTCATAGCATCGTACCCTTCTTTAATGTCAATTATGATGGCCATTGATGTAGGTGTAACGACGATCATAAATGACAAATTCTTTGTAACGGACATTGCACTCAATGCTATGAATATTCTTCATTAATGCTGCCGGGCGAGGATATTTATTGCCTCTTTAAATGTGTCATTCCTTCCGATACCAAATGGAATAATTGCCTTTGGTTCCACGTGTCATTCTTTTAACCGGCCACCTGCCATAGCATATTTACCCTATCAATTAATCCTAAATATAAGGGATAATTATGTATAATACCTTATGTATGGGTTATTTGTCTTTTCCAATGACTAATTAGAGTAATAGCCTGTTTGGCCAAGCTTCTTTTAAGGCAAAATACTTTTTTTTAGCCAAAAGTACTTTTTTTTTCTCTAAAATTAAAGTGTTTGGCCAAGCTTTTGAAAAGAAAAAAGTGCTTTTGAGGAGAAGCAGAAGCAGTTTTGGAGAAGTAGAACAAAGTAGCTTCTCTCCAAAAGCACTTTTCTGAAAAGCACTTTTGAGATAAATACACTTAGAAGCAGTTTTTTAAAGCTTGGCCAAACACTAATTGCTGCTCAGAAGTACTTTTCAAATTAATAGCCCGTTTGGTCAAGCTGCAAAAATCAGCTTATTTTGAGAAGTGCTTTGTTTCAAAAGTGCTTTTCTCAAAAGTACTTTTGGTGAGAATCAGTTTGTGTTTGGCTAATTAGTTTGAAAAGCAGTTCTGAGCTGCAATTAGTGTTTGATCAAACTGCTTCTAAGTGTATTTTTCTCAAAAGTGCTTTTGGAGAGAAGCTACTTTTTTCTGCTTCTCCAAAACTGCTTCTGCTTCTCCTCAAAAGCACTTTTTTTCCTTCCAAAAGCTTGGCCAAACACCTCAATTTTTGGCCAAAAGTGCTTCTGGCAAAAAAAAAAGCACTTTTGGCCAAAAAGAAGCTTGACCAAACAGGCTATAATTAGCCAATCACAAAAGTGCTTCTTGCCAAAACTACTTTTTTAGAAAAACGACTTCTCTTGGCCAAACGGGCTATAATCTATCCTATTCCCACAATAACAAAGACAATTAAGCCGTTGCAACGTTGTGCAGGAGAAAGAATGACAGTTGACGACGAGAGCTCGATATATGTGGGAGGGCTTCCCTACAGCGCCACCGAAGAAACTCTCCGTCGAGTCTTCGATGTTTACGGTGCTGTTGTAGGCATTAAGGTCTTAATCATACTATGTTTTACTATTTATCTCAGCTTATGCCATAAATTAGGGTTTTTTCGAATTGGAATTCCATCGGATTTTGCCAAGGCAAAACGGGATTTTCTGTGAGCTTCTTGATTTTAACACCAAGTCCTAATTGTTCATTTTAAATTTGTTCTGTTTTCCCCCCTACTAGAATAGTTGCATAAGTTATGTTAGCTTGTTGTTAATTGAATAAAAGGTTAGATCGTTACAGCATGAACATGTTTTGGTTCCCATTTGAAGAATTAAGCTATTTTACTGAATGGTAAGAAAGACTCCTTGCCTTTATATGGTAAGTGGTTGGTACTGAAAAACTGATGTGCCTAAAATCAGGGTTGGTTAAGGTGATGCCTACAGAAGTAAAAAAGTTAGTTAAGCTTGTTATGACTCTTTGGATTAATATCAAGCCCCGTTAAACATTTTACTATGAACCCAAGTTTCTTACATGCTGAAAAGGTTGTGGCTTCGTGTGTTTGAATTAGAGGAGCATGGATTCAGTAATTTTGACTGCATTTGGTTTCCAGTTAAATCATGCAGTTTTTGTTGTACTTGGCATCATTTTGTTCCTCGAAATTGAAGTTGTGATTCAAACATATAAATGATTTCTCTGTATGACTAGATAGGGTCATTGTGATAAGTAGCCACATCTGCTTGTGCTTTAGTTGAAAACAGTATCTTAGAATCATGGCCAGTAGGTAATATTGTCAGACGGCTGCAATAGCTTTTTCTTTTTCTGCATTTATTTTTATTTTCAGAAGTTGGACGTTTTACTTTCAGATAATCAATGACCGTAAGGTTGGGGGAAAATGTTATGGCTTTGTCACCTTCACTAATCCTCGGTCAGCCACGCGTGCCATCAATGAAGTGGATGGGAGGGTATTTTCTGATCTCTCTGTTATGTAGCTTATAATTACAAAAGTGATATAAATAACATATATTTCCACCAGACTATTGATGGGCGAGTTGTAAGAGTAAATGAAGTGACTACAAGAGGTGGCAGATCAGATTTTGGTCGAGAAAGTATTCGGCATTCTGAGAGAGGGGTGAGAGGTGGTGATACGGATCGAGACTGGGAAAGAGGCTATGATCATGATGATAACAGACGTAGGAATGGGCATAGAGAGCATTCTCGAGATCGCGATCACAAGAGGGAGAGAGGATATGACCGAAATCGTGATCGTGGTCGATCACGAGATTATCAAGTCAATAGAGATGGGGGTGCTGATGATGAAAGTCGTTTGGAGGATGTTGAGCCGGAAGATGAAAGGATTCGAGAAAGTAGCTGGGAAAGAGAGAGGGACCAGCCTAGAAAGATGCAGAAAACCAACAGTAACCATAAAAGCAGAGATAGAGAGAAGGATCAAATGCCTAAGCTACTGCCCCGGTAGGACGTACATTACTTAATGTGTTGCTGCTAGTTTTTAAGCTACTAAATTGGTTGAGCATACTCTGCGTTATATACTGCTGGTACTCATTATTATTCTACATTGTGTATATTCTCTACTGATTGGTCATTGGTGGTTTCTGAAAAGTGGTAGGAAGGGTCAAGTAATTTTGTGCAGAGGCATATTAGTGTGATTCTGCCACTTTCCACCTTGGATATGTCTTTTTGATACATTATTTCTCTATAACTCATGTTTGCGGCTTGCAACCACATTAAAGTGGATTGCCTGTTATCAAATTGTACAAATTTGGTTTGATTTTTTGATTATTCTTCATTTACACTAGAAAATTGAGTAGAGTATCAACCACTTAACTGATATTTGAGGCATGCCGGAAGAAATTATGCTGATGTTTCATGTACGATTTACTTCTTTGGGAACTTTTTATTTGGCATATGTTCTTATGCAGATATATTATTACATTCTGCGGAAACATATAGATTTGCAGACCTCATTAGTTATATTTTGCACTTACTTATGATGGAAACTTGTGCAATTGTTACTATTAATTTAGTGTTCACCGTAGCTTGAAACCATTTATCCTATGTTTGCTTGGTAGCTCGGGTCTTTTCTTGTTTTGGTTGACAATGTAAAATCAATCCCCTTCTTGATGGTGAATCTAACTTAGATGAGCATAATGGACAGTTTTAATGGAAGTCTTATTTGAACAGGTCTAATTTAGACGACCATGTTAGTAGAGAGCTGTCAGCTGAGTCAAGTGAGAATGATCAGCATCAGGTAGACCATTGCTTTAAAAAATGATTTAAATCTTAGAATTTGAAACTTCGTAGTTGGTGTTAGTGCTTTATTTCATGTGTTACTTTGTTTTAATTTTATTCAGATGGAAAGGCAAACAGAAATTTCAGGTCGGAAACTTGAAGAACTTAAGAAAAAGGTAACTGAAGCATAGTAGATCAACAATTTCTTTATTTGTGTGTTATAAGTAGTTTAAAATGATGGTCAGGCACGTCACTCCTTGAAATTGATAAGTGTGAATAGTTTCACTTGTGCTAAAATGAAATGAATGGTTAGATTGCTTCCAAGTTTTGCTTGATGGAGGATAATTTCAAATTCCAGCACATTTACCATCAGAAAAATCGCTTGAGATATAAGCTAGAACTATTAGTATTTGAAATTCTTGATTCTTTGCATGTCACGAGTTGATAAAATAATCCAACAATTACACCTCCGTTCCAAATAAGTTGGGGTCGGCTATATGAATCCTCACTAATTATGTTTCTCCGTTTGAATTCCTCTTAGGTCAACATTATGCCAACAAAGATCATTAATAAAGAGTACAGAAAAGCCCTCTAGATTTTTATTGGCATAAAAATCTCCGATGGAGCTAAAAGAAACTCCTAAAAAGAATTGAAACCTAAAGTAAATGTACTAACATATCCAAAATATATTCCCAACTAATTTGACTATATAGATTTTTTCCTTCCATTGTGTCTATCTTTTGCTAAGCTTGCGTGGGTTCCAAGAAATTATGTCTTTCAAGACATCTTATTTCCATGTGATTTTAGGTCTACGTCGTCCCTTTTTAACACCTTCACTTGTTGTGATTTCATGCCTACAAATTGGTGCATCTGGATATAGACTTGGGACATGACCAAATCATCTGAAACGACATTTTCTCATTTTATCCTCAATATGTGCTACTTGCATCTTTTGGAGAATGTGATCATATCTAATTTTATATGACCTCTCATCCATCTTAGCATCTGCATTTCTGCGACACTTATCTTTTGGATGTGCACTTTAATGGCTCAACATTCACTCCCATATTCATTGCTGGTCTTATAATGTTTTATAGAACTTATCTTTTTAGGTATCCTTCTATCACATAAGACCTCGATAATAATTCCTCATTTCAACCATTCAATTTTGAATATGCGTAGCATCATCATTTATCATTTCATTCTCCTGGAACAACGAGTCTAAATATTTGAATTATTGCATTTAAGCACCACAATCCCGTTTAGTCTCACCTTAACTTCACTCTTCTTGTGCTGACTAAACTTGCAGCGCATATATTCAATCATACTATCCTAAAAACTTTGCTTTCTAGAGTGTTTCTCCATAATTCAAACATTTAATTGATACCCTTGCTGGTTATTGATTAGCACAATATTATCAACAAATAGCATACACCATGAGACCTTATTTTATATTGTGTTGGTTAACTCATCCATGACTAAAGCCCAACAAGTACAAGCTCAATGGTGAACCCTGATATAAATCTACAGTATAGGGAACTTCTTTGTATATTTTACTATTGTTCTCACGCTGGTGATAGATCCTCAATATATGTCCTTTATGTCATTTTTATATTTAATATCAATTCCTTTCTTCTCCAACCGTAACCAAAGGACCCTTCTTGATCTCAATAAACAAAATGTATAGATTTTTCTTCCTCTCGTGATAAATTTCATCAATCTTCTTAGTAAGAATATCCCTCCATTATTGATCTGCTGGCATATATCCAAATTAATTCTCTATCACCCTTGTAGAATCCCTAAGTCTATTGGCTCTATTATATTACTGCCTCCGTTCCAATTTATGTAAACCTGTTTTACTGGGCACGGAGCTTAAGAAAAAATGAAGACTTTTTGAATTTGTGGTCATAAACAAGTCAAAAAGGGGTCCAGAGTATTTGTGTGGTTATAAAAGCTTCTCATTAAGGGTAGAATTGGAAGTTTAAGCTAAATTGTTTTCAAATTTAGAAAGGGGTCATTCTTTTTGGAATGGACCAAAAAGGAAATAGTTTCACATAAACTGGAACGGAGGGAGTATTACTTATCAAAAAAGAATTAAGTCTAAGGCTCTCACTCTTTCTAAGAGTTTCATCCTATGATTCCTAAGTTTAATGCCACAATAGTTAAAAAAGATGTCACAACAGTTAATATCTTCTTTGTTCTTTCTCCACTCATCGGGCATCCTACCATTTCTTAGAATAGCATTAAATAGCTTGTTGAGCCATCCTATTCCAATCTCTCCAAAACACCTCCAAACATCTATATACCATCGGGACCAGTGTCACGAGTTGATAGCACTTCAAAAGTCTTATTTTACTTATTTCATTGATTATCCACCTGCAATTATGGACCATGTATTACATTTTGGTTTTCCCTTACCATTTTGTTACTAGAAGAGAAACACCATAGTGACACCTTGTGTAATTGGCTCTGTGGTACCTTTTCCTACTTTGATAGGTTTTTTACTACATCTATATTTATAAACAAATGTTCTTTTGACTTTTGGATACAGTAGTAAGTTCTGCATTACCTGAATCTAATGTTTAGTGGACTTGATTAGGCGTCTTTGATGGAGGAATTGGTCAACGAGAAGCAAAATTTGGTGTCTAAGTTACAGGAAAGATCCAAGGTTATGATAAGTTGCAGGGTTTTCCTAGTAACATATTCTTTTCTACTACTATTCATGCTATCTCAGTGAGTTCCTTGAACATGGTTTAGATATTTTTTCTTCCTTCTCACTATCATCTGTTTGATGAAAACAGAAACTGGAGGATTCATTGACAGCTGCACAGAAGCTTACATCACAGAGACAGATGCAATTATCAAAGGTATCTCGGTATTATCAATTTTCTTCTCATAATAAATCTAATTACCTAATCCGTGCTAATTGTAGTGGTGTTTAATAATTTTTGTAGTTGTATAAACATTATGCACAAGTAAGAGAGTGTGGTGAAAGGCTTAAAATCTCAGAACAGGAACTACAGGTTAGTCTATCTTCTTGTGCCTGATTTTGATGGCAATGGAAACTATTGGGTTGTATGTAGAGAAATCCGATTGATCCTAATTCATATTGACTTGTGTCTGCATTATGCATTAAAAAGATCATATCTTAATTCAACCATGAGGTCTCAGGTTCAAGTCCAAGTGGAGACAATAACACTAGGTTATTTCTTTCCATCTGTCTAAGCCTTGGCGGATAGAGTTACCCAGTATCTTTGCTGGTGGGAGCCGAGGTGCACGCGAGCAGGCCCTTAAACCACCGTTATCCTAAAAAATAAGTATCATATCTTGAATCATTCTCTGCAGTGCACTGCCAATGTTGTACTGGCCCACCACAAGAGACTCTTGCATATTTAACATTCAAGTGAAATGATTGAATGATCTATAGGTACTCCAGGGTTATTGCATTCTTATCATTTATGTTAACTTAAGTTCGTGCTTGGGTATTTTTTGCTGTGACGTGATTGCTAATTTTACTGCAAGATGATGTAGGACATACTCTTTTTTAGTTATGATCTATGGTACATGGATCTGTTGTACATATCCAGTATGGGCATGGGCATATGGAAATATGCAATACGGGTTCAAGTTTCTTATATTTTGGCAAATTTTGAAGAATTAACACGAAGTACTTGCATGTATTTCACACCCGTTCAATAAGGGTATGTCAAGGCTAATGAAGGATCTGTACAACATAAGATAATGTGGCTGAAGAATACTGATGTGTACATTGAATCAGGGAAAGGATTATAGATTCTTTTTAAAACTTGGTATTCACTTGAGTTTGGTATTAGTTGCTTAACAGCGTTAGTGGTTCAATTCAATAAACCTCCTTTTCTATTTAGCTACTGGTCTCTGAACGAATGTTATTCCTGAAGTAGCTAATCTAGAAGTAGTATAAAATCATCATATCTTGCCTGTTTGTTGGTTAATTTATGCTTATTTAGCATGTCTTGAACGAGACCTCTGTTTTATTACACTCAACAATTGATGATATACACTAACAGAGAGAGGTTCTGCTTGCAGGCTCTGGTCCACTCCACGATGATGGAGGTAGAAATTGGTTGATATATTTGTGTATGTGGTGGGTCCGACAAGTAGCAGACATTGCCAATTAAACTAGGTTCAACAATTTTATTGCACTTCATATATGTTTGTATGACACTCATGTATCCAAACCTCTTTCTTGCCGATAATGTATTTCATATATGTTTGTATGGTGTTCATGTATGCGGTCCTCTTTCTTGGCCTAAATGCATGTTTTTTGGTCTCTCTCTACTAAAAGTACTGAATCTAGATGGTATTTTTCTCCTTTTGTCTTTTATTTATCTAAATCGTATTCTTTGGTCATGCAAATAGTAATCTCAAATAAGCATCAACTAGTAGATGTCTTATAGAAGTACAAATGAAAAGAAACACATTTGACAAGCATACAGTTAAAACTTTATGTGCTTTTGGCTGTAATAAACATGGATACGAAATAACCTTGTATCCTCTCTGTGTACGATGTCTTCGTTTGATAAATGTACCATGTGAACATTTATATACGTAGATAGGTTTTGCACTTGGCATTTAATCTGTACTTACTAGAAAAGAAGCACAGAACAGATATTGTGAAGAGGTTCAGCAGTTCCATGATTGTATAGAGTAACTGACCAATTATATGGCCTTAGTTTCTTTTTCTGTGCTGCCCAGAGGACTTTTTTCCTGGATTGATTGATGTAGAGTCTAAAAATATTTGTAAGCAACATGATTTGGTTTAAAAAAATTGAGTTACTAGTAATTACAAAATTCTCTTATGTCCACTTGTCTGCGATTCGTATTTCCAGCTGTATGCCCCTCTTGTAAGGTTTTAGTTCTCATTACCATTGGACTATCCAAATACTTTTAATTTCTTATTAATGTTAAGTTCTTTCCCCTTTGTTCATGCCAATGATTTTGGGAAGTGATTAAAAACATAAAGCATGATATAACTTCTACGTCACAAATTTGTAAAGTACTTGTTTCTCGGCACGTGTACACCAAGTCATATAGCATATAATTTTATAAAATGATATTAATATTATTAGTATAGATCTTTGAATGAGTAATTATACATAAAAGATATCATACAATTTAAGTGAATAACTAAAAATCATCTCTTGTTTAAAAGTTTGGTAATATGAATTTGTTTACGCAGAATAACAGAAATCAATTTTATAAGTTACGAACTTGCATGCTTATCCGCTCATTTATAATCAACACACTTCAAAGCTACAGAAACCTAAAATACAACATTATATATTTACACAGTAAGAACATATACATTTTCACAATAAAGCTGGTGCCAGAAAAGCTTGTTCACATTGCATAAGCTCAAATTGTTTTAAATTCTTGCAAAAAATACAAAAACCCTCAAGTACTAATCATGTCAAGCAGAAATGAGAAACCAAAAAAAATTCACAATGAGCTGACAAAAGGGTAGCCTGGACAATTCACATAGAATAAGCCCAAGAGTGCTCCTCTTTAACTTCTTGAAAACAGTAGAGAAACTTTCAGAAACCACTATGTTTTAGTAGTTATTAGTTAGTTGTAGCTACCATTTACTATATTACTTTTTATAGCTATGTTTTCAGGTTTTTTAGAGTGTATTTGATGTATTTAAGCTACTGTATTCATGAATACAGTAGCATTTCTCGGCGTGAAACAGGGGATTACAGCTAGACAGATTATTGTATTCGACTGTATTTGACTGTATTCACGGCGTGAAACACGGGATTACAGCTAGACAGATTGTTGCATTCGACTGTATTCACGATATGTATTTATGAATACAGTAACGTAAATAGCGTAATTCATGGTCTATTCAGCTGTTTTTAAGCGGAAAGTGAATGAATTAACACAATAGACTCTTAATATAACTCAACAAACACAATTATAAATCTGAATACATAAAATACATAAATTATATTAATCTAAAAAAAATATAAATTATATTAATTAAAAAAAATATATGAATACAGTGATGGAATATAGCGAGACAGTGAATACAATGAAATACATGGAATACAACGAGATAGATTGAAATACAATGAAAAAAGAAGACAATGAATACAATGAAATACATAGAATACAGCGAGATACATTGAAATACAACAAAAAAAAGGTAACAGACTCTTCAAGTTGTTCAGCCCCAAACTTCGTCGTCTTTGTTCAAGAATAACCCTAATCTCGTCTCGTCGATAGCAGATTTCGAACCTCCATTGTCAGCCTCAATTTACTCTATGTCAGTTTTCGACATTGATACGAAACATAAGACATTGATTTCTAAACAGACTCTTCAACCACTAAATTTTCATCTTGATCTTGACTCTTGACATAGAAAATCGCAACTTCATCTAAAGTCTTGACAGAAACAAAAGTTGGGGAAAAGAATAAAACGAAAGAAAGGAAGAAAAAGACAAAATGGAATATCTCAAAAAAGGGAGGAATGGGACGTTTGGGCTGTGCAGCTATTTGAGATTGGGGGAAAACGGGAAATAGCGATAAACTTTTTTGTGCTTCTTCGATTTCTTCCATGGCGTATTCTGTTTCAATCTTCTGCTGTGTGAGAACTGGCGTTGAGAGAGAGAGAGAGAGGGTGGAGAAAAATCTGAAAGAATGAGAGAGACAAATAATACAAAGCGTATTTTATGGCTTACGGGTAGGAGGTGACCATAAATAGATATTTGGCTATAAAAACAAAAGGTAGCTATGGAATATAATTTTTTAAAAGGGTATTTATTTAAAATAAATAAAGTATCAACCTTTGCTATATGAGGTAAAAATTTCAAAACAATACATAAACACTGAAGAACTAAACTTGCGAGTAGAAATATAACTCAATATAGCATATAAAATTGAGGATTGTAAAGTCTTGCCCAAAATTTCAACAGTATACATAAAACAGTAACAACATAGAAAATCCCCCTAACAAAAGCTGATGATTTTACATAGAACACATTGTTTCAACTTCTTTGTGCTAAATTGGAGATTAGTTGGGTAACTCATGTTTTATACTTCAATACCACATAAGAGGGGGTGATTTGTGTGGTGCCTAATTTTCGCGTGCACTGGATTATCGAATGACCTGGTTCTTCTATGCGTTCCTTATACTACAGTTGTGTAATAAATAATGCAGAAAGTAAAGTACATAAGGATTTTTACATGGAGAATACCTGGCTCAAAAGGTGAAAAAATCACGACCTATTACCCAGTAGGATTTTCTCCAAACATCACTACAACTCTGAGCCAACAACAAAGTATACAAACTCTTGCAAACCTAAGGATTAACTCTAACCCTCATAGCAACACGCCACAAGCTGTTGCGACTACTTCAAGTTAACTCTAACTTGAAAGATACAACTCGAGTTTACAACCTCTTGCAAACCTAAGGATTAACTCTAACCCTTGCAGCAAAACGCCACAGGCTGTTGCAACTACTTCAAGTTAACTCTACTTGAAAGATACAACTCAAGTACCTAGTACAATTTGCTTCTAAGAAAGCTGAAAGGTACAACTCAAAATGCCTGCTACACTTTGAACTAGAAATAAAGAAAGACACATAAAATTCTTTATGGAGCTGGTTCTTCAATCTGGTTCGTGTAGCTTCAGGATCGCACTCTTAAATCTCACAGGAATTGCTCACAAAATGTGTTGCTATTTTGCTCTCAATTCATGCTTAACTTCAGTATGTGTACACCACCTATAAAAGAAAACACAAGTAATATATATAGAGTTAGTAAATAGGGAGTAACTAGAGTTTTCTAATGCTTTACTCTTCCTTGGTGGAAGAGCTAGTCAACTTCAACTTCTAACTTTTCCCTTATATTGGATGGAGTTCTCTTCAACTAAGGAGTCCTGCTCATTATCAATTATGCAACCTTTTCGTTCAGAAGATATCAGATATAACCACTTAAGCTTATCTTTTCACGTGCATGCCTTGTGCTTGAATCTACCCTTGCCCGTGTACACTGTGTATGGATCTAGTTCATGCATGTGTTCCTTTGTCAATCATCAAAACCAAAATCGCTCAGATCAACAAATTCCCCCTTTTTGATGATGACAAACTCTGTGCTTTTCAGAAGTATCTAACCTGTTTCAACTCAGCTTAACATCAAGCACAATGTCAGAACACTTTCCATTTAAACTCAAATCATCAAGGACCAGGTTCATTAGGTTATAAACATCATAGTACAAAGCAAAAGCACACCTTATCAAATCATAATGTCACTAACCAAGAAGTTAGCAATGTCGGCATACCAAGGAGCGAAGGTACTAGACAATGCCAATATGTGCTCATCTGGAAAGGCATCAGCAATTTCAAGATCTTCTTTTGGTCTCCCTACCTCTTCAAGCCTAGATAGGTGATCCGCAACTTCATTCTTTGTCCCATTCCGATCCTTGACTTCAAAGTCGAACTCTTGTAACAAAAGTACCCACCTAATCAATCTCGGTTTAGCATCCTTCTTTGTCATAAGATGGCCCGGAATATTTCAAAAGCATAGACAATGGCAAGCAAAAAGTTCTTGCTCAGTCACAGTGTAATTCATTTGTGCGCCATTGAGTGTCTGTTTGCATAGTAGACATGATGAAGGATCTTGTTATGCCGTTGACCAAGTACCGCCCCAATAGCTACACCACTAGCGTCACACATGAGTTCAAATGGAAGAGACCAATTGGGTATGACAATAATAGGTGCCGTGGTGAGCCTCGCTTTCAATTACTCAAAAGCTTTGAGGCACTTCTCATCGAAATCAAACTTTGCATCTTTTTCAAGGAGCTTGCGCATGGGACTTGCAATTTTTAAGAAGTCTTTGATGAATCGCCTATAAAAACAGGCATGCCCTAGAAAGCTCCGAACACCTTTTACCGAAATGGGAGGAGGAAGTTTTGAAATGATCTTGATCTTTGCCCAATCAACCTCTATACCTTGCTTGGAAATCTTGTGGCCCAGAACAATACCCTCGTCCACCATGAAGTGGCATTTTTCCCAATTTAGGACAAGGTTTGTTTCCTCACATCTTGTGAGCACTTGCCTAAGGTTTTCAAGGCAATGCTCAAAGGAATCACAAACCACAGAAAAATCATCCATGAGCACCTCTAAGAAATCCTCCACCATGTCAGAGGAGATTGACATCATGTATCGTTGAAAAGTAGGCGGAGCATTGCATAACCCAAATGACATCCGGCTAAAAGCAAAAGTTCCATACGGGCATGTGAATGTTGTCTTCTCTTGATCTTCTAAGGCGAT